GCTCATGGCGGAAGTCTGCCGCCTCTGAGTGCTTGCCCTCCCCCCCCCGGCCGCCCCGCGATGATGTGGCCCTCAGAGGTGTCAGAACATTTGTGGAGAGCGGCACCACGGACCAAAGACCCCGCGAATTTCATTGTGACAGATCCGGCGTGCCGCGCCGGCCCCGCGACAGTTGAAAGGGGTGTTTCTGTTGGCAGAAGATCGGGTGATTCTCGACCCCCGCTGCTGGAGGTTTGGATGCCACCCCCCGAGGTATGGCCGAAACCTACCATAGGGATCGAGCATGGATGACTACGATTACCCCGCTTCCACATAGCTGGCCACCAGGCAGTCATGCCTCTTGCCCTGCGGCTGTGGCCTGCCCCCAACTTATGGGTGGATTCGTCACGCGGGTTCACAGACTCCAGTACTTCTCCGATGGCCGCCTCCTCCTCAAAGATCTTCGGCTCCCCATTCACCTACAGCGAGCTTGGTGCTCCTCGCCCCCTCCCTCGCCCTTTCCCTGCCTCCTCCTCTCCCTCCCCCTTCCCTCCCCTCCCTCCTCGATGCCTCTCCTCCCCTCCCTCCTCCTCGTCCTCCTCCTCTCCTCCCCCTTCCCTCCCCTCCCCTCCCTCGCCCTTTCCCTCCCTCCTCCTCTCCCTCCCCCTCCCCTCCCTCCCTCCCTCCCTTCGATGCCGCCGACGGCCTGCCGAGGCGCCGGCGCCGGCCCCTGCGTCCCCTGCACCGACGGCGGTGGCCCGCTCTCCCGCGCGCCCGCCGCCCGCCCCCCCCTGTCGTAGGCGCCGCCGTGGTCGATCCGGGGGCGGCGGCATTCCAAGAAGCAAACGCGCCATACACAAACTTCTGGCGCTCCGCGCGGGTTTCTGGGATCCGCGCTGGGCCCCCCCCGGCGCCGCCCCCGGCGCGCCCAGCGCGCCATGGAGGGGGCTCCGGCGCAGATCCAACAAGTCCGCGAGGAGCGCCAAAAGTTTATGTTTATGGCGTTCAGTTTGTTTCCTTAAAGAATACCGTTTCTAGGCATGGTCCGCTTCGTCCCGATCGATCCTCCCCCCCCTGAGAATCGACGTTGCAAAAAACATTGCAACACCGTAAAAGATCAAGCCTGGAGCACTAGACCCCATCTTTCTGCCTCAGTTTTCAAGCCGCGTCGAGCCGTGAGGGTCCTGGGGCCGGACAAGAGGCAATACGCCCAGTACGATAAGATTGAGTCGCCAGGATCTCAGGGCCTCTCTCTCCTTCCGTCGGGCCTGTCCCTCTACAGGAGGAATATTCAAAAATAGGCAAACAAAAATCGTATGGGGACACTTGTTCTAGTATCTTTGGTATGTTCGAACATTTTTTGACTATTGTTTCGCTTTTCGTTCAATCCGCCTGTAGGGGGACATGCCCGACCTGACCCTCTCCCCCTCTGCTCGGCGTTTTTTCGTCGCTTCCCGGCGGGCTCCCTGCGTCGAGGCGCGACGTCAGAGCAGCAGCGCGGCGCCTCCCCGAGCGCGCTCCTCGGGAGTGCCCGGGCAGCGGCCCGAGCGGCCGCCGGAGACCGGAGGTGGGACCCCAGGGCCGAAATTCTAGGCCTCCTGGATGGGGTCGGGAGGGGAACAAAAACACACAGACACAATTAATCGTCGATTCCCCAGGAAATATGGGAAAATATGGGAAGTGGGGGGGATAACAAAAACCCAGAAATTTAGTTGTGTGTCCTGGGGCTCCTTTATAGATGGGGTCGGAGCAGGTGGGGTCGGAGGACTGCGCCGTGTCGTCGATGCGTCGCCGATGCGGCTCGATGTGGAGCCTGGTTTGCTTCACGTCGGCGTCGCCGATGCACCGCCCACGTCGACGATGCATCGCCGGTGCATCGCCGATGTATCGGCGATGCGGCGCGATCCTCCGACCCCATCCACTCCGACCCCAAGTAGGCGACCTCTAGAAATGCCGAATGACCCCACAGGGCCGTTTTCGATCGGATCGATCCGATCTCATGGGGGTTCCGGTTGGCCCGATCTGATGCAGTGGAGGCCCATGCCAAACAAAAAGCCTGCTTGCCTTCCAGAGAGCGTGGCGTCCCCACACCGGAGAAACAAATGGACGTCCTGTGGTCTCAGCGTTGGGTTTCTTGTGGAAGGTTTCTTGTGGCCGTTCCCCGACTGTATTCACTCGAAGAAGACCGTTGGCGCTCCGCGCGGACCTCTTGGAGTCGCGCCGGGGCCCCCCCTGGCGGCGCCTCCGGCGCCGCCCCTGGCGTGCTCCGCGTGCCAGGGAGGGGGGGCCCTGGATCGCATCCAAGAAGTCCGCGCGGATCGCCAGCAGTCTGTGTGTGTGGCGTTGTGTCGTCTTCTGCAGAAGACGTATGTCAGGAGAGAAAAAACACACAGACACAATTAATCGTCGATTCCCCAGAAAATATGGGAAAATATGGGAAGTGGGGGGGGAGACAGAAACCCAGAAAATATAGGAAAATATGGGGAGTCTTTTTATTTGTGTGTATTTATTTGTGTGTCCTGGGGCCACTTCAGTAGGGCCTCGTCGAGGGCCTGCCGGTGAGCCTCCAGGGGCCTCGGGAGCGGGCGGAGCGAGGGCGACGGCCCCGAGCTGCATACGGTGGCCTGCGAGAGAGGCGCCCAGGGTTGGGAAGCCAAGGGATGGCAAGGCGGGCCCCCCAAGACGACGCGAAGATCGGGACAAAATCGGATCGGGATAACTCGAAATCTCTGAGAATCGGCGGGTTTGGAGGATGTATTGGGCGCCGCGGCCGCTCCAGAGCGTTCCGGAACGCTCTGAGAGCGCTCCGGAACGCTCTGGAGCGATTTATCCCGATCTTAGCTCTGTTTTGCCCCCCTTCGCGCCCCTTTCCCCCCGGCCAGTGCTGAGTCGGGCCTGTCTTTCGACAGGAGGAGTCTTCAGAAATATATAAAAAATAGTCGGGGGACGATTCTTCAGAGTCTTCGATTCTGTTGGGGTACGTGTTTGACTTTTCCCCCCCCTCGTTCAAAATGCGCCTGTAGGGGGACATGCCCGACCTAAGGCCAGTGTTGATCGAGACCTCGACGGGCGGGAACGCGACTTGTTGCGAAGCACTAGGGCACTTTTGCAGAGCGCCTCCGCCGCGTCGTCGTGGACGCCGAAGCTCGGAGCGGCAGCTACGCAGCTGCGGGTTACGCAGGACATGGCCATTTCTCATAGGCAGCGCGCCGCGACAGGGACTGATGCTGGGGCACTGCAGGTGGGATTCATGACATGTGTGAGCGGTGCGCCGAAATTCGGCGGTGTCGCCACGCGGACGTTGGCATTGGGGTCTTCCGATATGGCAGGGTGGCGAGGGGTGTTCCGATATGAGGTGGTGGCGCCACGCGGACTTTGCCGAGGCGGTGGCACCATGCAGATCCTGCCATTGGGCCGCAGGTGATCGTTCTCTTATTCAATGTTTTGCCGATCGGCGCCGACCCTCGCACCCCACCCTCCCCCCCCCTCCCTCCTGGAGTAGATCTTGGCTGTTTTGGGCGCCTGTTTCGAGCAGGAGACTCCACAGGACGCACTTTTCTGCAAGCAGTCGCACTAGGCAGAGGTCCGGAGCCAGCCCCCCCCCCTCCCCCCTCTTCCGCCCAACGTCGAAGCGCGGAATAAAAAACGCTCACCAGGTGGAGTTCCTTGTGGGGTCACGAAACGCGTGAGGGGGGTACCGAAACGGGAACACCGCCGTGCGGTTGCGCCCACCCCAGGGGGCCCTGAAATGGAGCTCCCTGAGGGGCACGATCTGTATGAGGGGTTTGCCAATACGGAGGTGGCCCCGCGGTGCGCCTCCTTCTCCTCCTCCTCCTCCTCCTCCCCCTCCTCCTCCTCCTTCTCCTCCTCCACACCGTCGGGCGTCAGAATGCAAGACCCCCCTCGGTGCTCCTCGAGCCGACGGGGGGCTCAGCGTCGCCACAGCGCCACATCTACATCGACGGGAGTCAGAGCGCAAATCCCGCTACGGCACCGCCGTGGGTGGGTTCAACGTCGCCACGGCTCGAAACTAGAGGCGAAGACACGACCGAGATGGGAGAGCTCTGGGAGATGATGGAGTTGGCTGCTGAGGCACCCGTGGAGAAAGAGGCCCCAGAGTACATCACCAAGTGCGCCGCGTATCAAGCGACCACGCAAGCCTCCAGGGACCTCAGCCTGAGTTTCTCCTCCATCATGAACACGATGGAGCACTTCTACTGCATGGCTTACCGCATCGACCCCCTAGATCGAGCGAAGTACTGCGGCAGAGGCGACCCGAGAACATTCACCATGCGCAAAGGCAAAGAGAAGCACGAGAGGAGAGAGCGGTATGCAAACCGCAGAGCTGACTGGTGGAGCAGAGCCGAGAACACCCTGTCCTTGCTGGCGAGGCTGCGCAAGAAGAACAGGGACGTGAGGCAGCAGCTGCACTTAGAGGCCGCAGGCAGACACCTCGCCTACGACGGCCTCCCGAACACCAGCGACCAGGCATCGGACACGGCGAAGCTACACCGAGAGATCTGGAGAGCGAGGCTGACAGACTTAAGCAAGGTCGACACAGACGTAATCCTTGGCATGGCGCAGCAGGCGGAGCAGGAGAAGCGGCTCGCACTCAAGAGGGACCTCCAAGAGAATACGCGGGCCTTCGGACAGTGGCTGGCGCTGGCTGAGAAAGACGTCGGCGTGCTGCACCGCATCACGAAGCCACCGCCCAGGCGCGAGGAGGAGGTTGTTACTCATGAAGGGGTACTGGACTGCCCCACCAAGATAGTCGACGAGAAAGCGAAGGCGTTCCAGGACATCTGGAAGTGCGACCGACTCAAGCACGAGCAGCACACCGAAGTTCTACAGCGACTACGGGAGCGTGCACGTTCGGAGGCGGCCCCAGAATGGACGCTCGAGGACCTAGACGAGGCCCTCAGAGGAGAGCCCGACAAGGGCAAGGGCATTGACATGCTGGTGTGCTCCGACATCCGCAGGCTGCCGCCCGAAGGCCGCCAGAGGATCGTCGAGTTCTTCAACTCATGCGAGCAGGCGCTCGCATGGCCGTGGCAGCTGCTGTGCGAGATCGTGATGCTCACGCCCAAGCCAGCCAAGGGCGATAGGGCCCTCGCCCTGCTGCCGCAGATGGTGCGCTGCTGGGAGTTGCTCCACCGGCCCGCGGTGATGCGCTGGGCCAAGCAGCAGGAGAGAGAATGGGACGCCGCCGCGGCGGGCAACAGCTGCCTGCGCGAGGCGATGAGGAGAGTCATCAGCGACGAGTGCTGCGACGCGCTCCAGCTGTTCCACGGCGACCTGCTCGCGGACATCGAGAAGTTCTACGACAGCCTTCAGCTCGACTGCGTGATCGAGGCGGGCCTGATGGACTTCCGCCCCCGCCTGCTGACGATGATGCTGCTGCAGCACTCAGCCACGAGGGTGCTGCGGTGGAAAGGTGCCTTCTCGACACCTACCTGGGCTGACAGGTCGCTGCTGGCAGGCTCGAGGCACTCCAACAACCTGGCCAAGACGGTGGTCTACTCCGTCATAGGCAGGATGCTGGAGGACTCACAGGCGCTGCCCAAGCCGCTGCCGAGGGCCTGGTTCGACGACATCAGCATCCGCATCCTGGGCAGCGCAGAGGCAGTCGAGCAGGAGCTGACGGCGGTCACGGTGGGGCTACGCGACGGTCTACGTGCACAGGGACTCTCGCTCGCGGACAAGACCGTCATCTTCAGCACCAACTACCGCACCACCAAGAGAGTACAGCAGGCGCCGCGCAAGGTGAACCTACCCGTCCAGGCCGTCACTGAGGGCCGCGACCTGGGAATCGACCGAGGCGCAAGAGGCACGCTGAAAAGGGACACCCACAGAAAGAGGACGAAGCAAGCCTTCACGCGCTGCGGCCACGTGGGCAAGAAGCTCAAGAGGCTCAGGCTGCGGCGGAGGAGAGGCATCCTGCACCAAGGAGCGGTGGCCTCCTACATGCACGGCGCGACGGTGCACGGCATGGCACCCTGGGCGCGGCAGAAGGCGAGGAGGAGGTATGCACAGGCTCTGAGGAGGCCGTGGCCAGGCCGCTGCCTCACCACGTTCCTGGCGCTGGAGGGCGCCGACCCCGCGACCACCGCGGTGAAGGCGCAGCTGAAGACGTGGTTCGAGGTCTGGGCCCGCAGCCCCGACATCAGAGCACAGGTCAAGCTTGCCTGGCCGAAGATCTACTTCCAGCTCCGCAAGATCAGGGCAGAGAAGAGGTGGCAGGCGCGCAAGGGGCCGCTGGCCAGCCTGATTCTCCTGCTGTGGGAGGTAGGCTGGGACTCCAGAGGACCAGACGTCTGGATCGACAGGCAAGGGGACTACTGGAGGTTCAACACTGACGAGCAGGGCGGCGACTACACAGAGATCGTGGACGCGCTCCTGCAGGATATCCAAGACCAGCTGTGGGAGACGGCATCACAGCACCACAACGGCGGAGGGCTACAATTTGGTGCGGACGTGACCGACCTTAAGAAGCACCTCAACCAGCTCGCCAAGAAGGAGCACCACGGCACGTACGGCGCGCTCCTCACGGCAGCGCGTGCAGGCACCTGGACGAGGCGGCGCAAGCACGAGACCTTCGGCGGCGAGGAGGACATGTGCGAGTGCGGCAGACCAGAGGATGATGCACACAGGATCTGGGGCCACTGTGCGGCCCGAGCCGACTGCGAGGCCATCCGCAAGACAGAGGGCTTGGCACGCAGGGCCATCGAGGGAGCCAAGGAGAACCCCGCCTTCTGGCTCAGAGGCATCACGCCCAAGAAGTGGACCACGCCGCCCAAGTGCGACACCCAACACGTCGAGCACACCGTGGGCGCCTGCATCACCAACAACAGGCTCTCCGCCAGCGACGGCGGCGAGATCGCGGGCTGCGGCGACGGCTCAGGAGGCGAGTACCGCGCAGACGAGAGATACTGCCGCTGCGGCTGGGGCTGGGTGCTGCTGAAGGAGGGCGACGACGCCGACGAGATCGCGGGCGCCAGATTCGGCCCACTGCCAGGACCGAGGCAAACCAACAACAGGGCGGAGCTCTTCAGCCTGATCAGCTTCATCAACGCCACGGAGGGCAAGGCCAGCTTCTGGACCGACAGCGAGGTCACCTGCCTGGGCTGGGCGGCGCGACGTGAGGAGACCACAGGGCTCGGCTGCACGAACGGAGACTTGTGGCACCAGCTGGGCGAGGCGATCCGTGCGCGAGGAGGTGGCCGCAACGACATCAGCGTGCACCACCTCAACAGCCACATGACTGAGCAGGAGGCCAGCGCGAAGGGCATCACGAGGCGCATCTGGGCAGGCAACCAGGCAGCCGACCAGTGCGCAGACGCAGGCGCCAAGACCCACGCGATCAGCGACACCGAGATGAGCTGCTACGAGTGGGTGAGAGCGACGGCGCACCTGGTGAGGCTCAGGATCGCTGCAACCACCAAGGACGTCATCACCAGAAGGCCGCCAGACGAGAAGGAGATGAGAGAGGCCCGCCGCGCTCAGGCTAAGAAGCGACGGCAGGACACCGTGCGCAAGAAGGACCTGCTGGGGGACAACCACTCGCGACGGCCACTCGCACAACATGTTCTGGCACGAGACCGTCGAGGCACAGGCTGGACGTGCATGAGCTGCTGGCAGTCAGTCTCCAGTACGACGACGGCGCAGAACATCCACAGCTGGCTGACGCAGGAGTGCAGTGGCCCACCGCCCGAGACGGCGATCACGGTCACCAAGTTCGGCGTCGAGTCGCACCCCGCGCACAAGCTGAGGCGGCTGAGGAGGCACAACAGGTGGTTCTGCGAGAAGTGCGGAGGCGCCACCACTGAGCTGATCGCCAAGAAGCTGCAGGAGCCTTGCTGCGGACACACGGCATGCGACAGCGGACACTACAGGCTACAGGGGTGGCTGAGGCAAGCGGCGCGAGAGCAAGGCACCTGCGACAGGCCTCGCGCACTGAGCGACCCTGAGGACGAGGAGGACGAGGAGCAGCTTGCAGAGGCCAGCAGTAGCCAGAGCACGGAGGTCGACACGGCAGGGGGCACAAGTGGTGTTTCCTGGCGAAACAAACGGGAAGAGCCACCCTGCCGTCTGCGGGAGAAGTGCCGAGGCTACACTGCGGGCGCGCTGGAGGCGACGAGGAGAGCTACGACGCCTGCGGAGCCTAGCAGCCTGCCCGCCCCTCCAGCTGCAGGAGCAGACCGAGGGCCCGCGACGCGGGACAGGGCACGTCGGGCCGCGGCGGCCAGAGCGAGAGCGCGCTGCGAGGCAGCAGGCGCGCGGCCCGACGGCGGAGACAGAGGAGAGCAGAGGACACGGAGATCAGAAAGCGAAAGACGAAGAGCTGAGGAGCCGATTGTGAGACGCCTGCTGGACGCGACCGCCGCCACACCAGCACCGACGCCGACGCCGACGACAGCACCGCCAGCAGCAGCAGACCAACGTGACGAAGCTGAGGCCGCACGCCGTGCCGCCTCGCGAGCGCTGCTGGAGGAGGAGAGGCGGCGCGCGGCGCGCCCGCCGCCAGAGGCGAGAGGGGCCCGCGCGGCGAGCGCCGCCCCGCCGCTGCCGCTGGGCGCGCTGCGCCGGCTGCTGGACGAGGGCGAGCGGCCCGCGGGGCGGGCGAGGACCACGCGTGGCGGAGCTGTTGGCAGAAGATGTGGTCTCCCCGCCCCGCGGAGAGAGGGCTGGGCTGCGGAGCCGCCCGCAGGCCCCTCGGTTGCTCGGCACGTCCCCCTGATGCCGAGGACCGAGGCGGCCTGAGAGGCGCCGAGAGCGGCGCCCCCGCGCGCGCGCGCCGACAGCGCCGCGCGGGTTGCCACGACGTGGCGGCTCGAAAGAGCTCGGAAAGAGCTCCTTCTCCTCCTCCTCCTCCTCTTCCTCCTCTTGGTCGGCCCCCTGGGCCACTAGGAGGTTGAACGCTCCACGGGCTACTGGGCGTGTGGTGGTATGCGGGGACCTGGGGGCTCCTGCGCCAGGCGATCGCGCCTTGTGAGACCGCACGGAGTTCCCTGTGGCGCCGCTGAAGCGTGAGAGGGTTATGTCGGCGTCACCCCAAAACACATACTACGTCTGCGTCGCACCCCTGGGGCTACGCGCGCACCGAGAAATATTATAGTATGTGCGTCGTGGCGGGCGCTTTCTGGCCACACCGCGCGGGCAGCGACATACTACAAGTGGTTATACTTTGTGTTCGGGTCGGCAGCGCGCCTCCAATGAGGACATACAGCAACGGTGTGTCTCTGTGTGTCCCCATTGTGCCGAAATCCACATGCGGAAAGCAGAGGATAGAGGGGGAGGACAAGGAAGGGAAGGACCGTCAGGAGATCCCGCATGAAGATGGGGTGGGGACCTGGTCGTGACCTTTCACGACGTTGTGTTTTCTTGACGTCGGATCGTGTAGGAGGACAAAAACACTGCCGGCGGTGACGATGACGCGGCTACTCTGGCGACTACAGAGGTCACTACTGATTCCCCCCCCCCCAACCAAGTCGAAGGTTTCATACCGCCCAAAGCTTCTGGTTGGGGGGTGTACGCGTGCCGCCGTCGCGTTCTCTCAAGCTGCTCTCGCCTGCCCCCCGCTGCAACTTGACGGGCCCAACGGCGCCTTTCTGGTTGGGTGGGGGGCGGTTTGTGGTAGGTTGTCAGACGACGGCGACGGCGATCAAGCAGTGGCGAAGCTTCCCTGTAAGCCCACCACAGCTAATAACCTTTTCTGGTCTGCGCGGGATGTTTTTAGAACACGTCTGTCTAAGACTGTCTTGCTTTAACACATCGGGTACCTGCTCTAAGAACATGGCTTTCGCTCCCAAAACATGTCTGGGTTCTACGAACATGCCGTGGTAAGCCTACAGGAATGCCGGGACGGCTGGTCCCTGCTCAGGGCGACGGCCCCGACGACGACCACGGTGACGGCGACGAAGTCACCAGCAGCAGCGAGGCGGCGAGCCTTCCCCCCCCCGATGTGGCCTGCAGGCGGCGCCGGCGAGCGTCCCTCCGGCGCCCGCCGCGCGGCCGGTGGCAGGCTCGGGTGCGCGCGGCCGCCGCAGCCGACGAGGGCGACGTGTCACGATTCCTCTGCGGCGGGCTCCGACGAGCGGCGAGCGGGTCTGAGGGCTTGTCTTCCAGGAGGCGTATAAGGTTGCGCCCGTCGGGTAGGCTCGCCTTCTCTGTTCCTCCTCTGCTGCTCCTCCTGCTCCTTCTGCTCCTCCTCCTCCCGTTCAACTTCGTCGTAGGCCGCTGCTTCCACACCTCTTGTTCCCAGTTCCCCCTCCTGCACCTTCTCTCTGTCCCCCTTCTCCGCCGGCTTCTCCTCACCCTTCCGCTGCTCCTCCTCCCCCTCCCGCTCACCCTTTTCCGTCCCAAACCCCCCGAGAGGCGAGCAGGGAAAGGAGGATTCCTCCCTCCCCCACCTACCCTTCTCGTATAGAGCTCTCCCGGACACTTCCCCCGCTCCCTCACCCCCCCCGCTACCTCCTCTTCGTCGCCCCCGTCGTCTCTCCCTCGAGTGGCCCTCGCCCTCGCCCTCGCCGTCGCACGACGCCGCACGACGGCGCACGGCGCCGCACGAAGCCGCCCGGCGCGCGGCGCGCGGCGCTCGACGCAGCGACGCCCGCGGCGGCCGTGGCCGAACGGTGGCCGCGGCCGCGGCCGCGCGACGGCGGCGGTCTGCCCGCCGCGAGGCCCTGCGGCCGCCCCCGCCCGGGCGCCCGCCTCGTCTGCCGCGCTGACGCCGGCGCCGGCGCCCACGGTGCCCGCGGCCGTGGCCGTGGCGGCGGCGCCGCGGGCGGGGGGGTTGCCGAAGCGGTCGGCCTCCTCGTCCTCCTCCTCCTCCTCCTCCTCCTCCTCCTCCTCCTCCTCCTTGGCCTTCTCCTCCTCCTCCTCCTCCTCGTCCTCCTCCTCGTCCTCCTCCTCCTGTCGTCCTCCTCATTCTCCTCCTCGTCCTCCTCCTGCTCCTCCTCGGCCTCCTCCTCCTCCTCCTCCTCTCTCCTCCTCCTCTCCTCCTCCTCCTCCTCGTCCTTCTTCTCCTCCTCGTCCTCCTCCTCCTCCTCCTCCTCGGCCTTCTCCTCCTCCTCCTCGTCCTCCTCCTCCTCCTCGTCCTCCTCCTCCTCGTCCTCCTCCTCGTCCTCCTCCTCCTCCTCCTACTCCTCCTCGTCGTCCTCCTCCGCCTTGGCATCGCTCGGGCGTGTGCAGTGTCTTTCTCGGCGAGGGCCATCGAGGAGCATATCCTGGAGCATCTGTGGAAACAGGAAGAGAAAAGAAGGAGCACGAGAGAACCGAGACATGCACGGGGGAGCGGACGTCCGAGCGACGGCAAGCTTTTGGGGCGGGGCAGGCTGCCGTGCCTTAGGAGGAGGAGGAGGAGGTGGTGATGCCGATAACCGCTGCCCATGAGAGGTCCTGGGAGTAACAGTATCGGTACTTTTGGGATTCCACACTTCCTCCTCCGGCTGAGTTGGCCCTTCGCTCCTTCTTCTCGTCGTCGTTGTGTTCGCCGTCTTCGCTGTTGTCGTCGCCGCCGCCGCCGCCGCCGTCGTGGTCGTGGTCGTGGTCGTGAATATCGTCGGCGTCGCCGTCGCCGTCGCCATCTTGGTCGTGGTCGCCGTCGTGGTCGCCGTCATGGTCGTCGTCGTGGTCGTGGTCGTGGTCGTGGTGGCCGCGGTCGTGGTCGTGGTCGTGGTCGTCGTCGTTGTCGTCGTGACTGGCGGCTCCTCGTGCGCGCTTCAGCGATGGGGTCGAGAGCTCCATGAGGCACCCCGCTCGTCGAGCGAAGACACGACGTCGGCCGTCTGGGACGTCAGCGACGCCAGCGTCGCAGTCGCAGCCATCGCCGCCGCCGCAGCCGTCGTCGCCTTGGAAAGGTCTCGGGCGGTGCTCGGCCACGCGCCAAGGGGGATAGGGGGGCGGGGGGGAAGGCTCCTTGGAAGCGCCCCTGCTTCTTAGAAGGCGAGGGCCTTATCTGTAGATGTAGGGCCGGCGCCGTAGGAGAAGGCGCCTCCTTCGAAGAAGCCTTCCCCCCTCCCCCTGCCCCTTGTGCGCGCCGCCAAATCACGAGAACGCCCGCCCAGACAAGGCGGCTGAGGACATCTGCACCGGTCCACTCGACATCGGCACTCGAGCGTGCCAGTCCGCTCGACATCATTCGGCCGTGATGCGTGTGCCGGCTTGGGCATGGCGCCGTTTCTCCCCCGCGCCTTCGGGGCCTGCTGTTTTTAGGTGCCGCACTCGCCCCAGGCCACCGGGGCCTGCGCCCAGGCTTGCGGTCGCCCAGGCCCGTCCGTTCGACCGGCCACTGGCGCGCTGGGCTCCTGTGATGGGCCGATGTTTCACCACCACCACCACAACGGGCAGGACGGGGGAGAGTAGTGAGGATGAGGAGGTCCTCCTCCTCCTCCTCCTCCTCCTCCTCCTCCTCCTCCTCCTCCACCTTCCTCCTTCCTCTCCTACCGGTGGTAGTGGTGGCGAGAAACCGTCGGGGAACGAACAGTGACATATACATAAAAAACTCGGAGGTCCGCGCAAATGTCTCGGATCCGCGCTGGGCCCCATTGGTGGCGCCTCCGGCACCGCCCCTGGCGCGCTCCGCGCACCAGGGAGGGGGGTTCAGCGCGGATCCGAGAAGTCCGCGCGGACCTCCGAGTTTTTTTTTCATGCCATTTTTCGTTCCCCTGAAATCGGACCGTCCTCCTATTGGGTGTTGCTAGAGGTAGTTACCCCTGGCCCGAGGTCCCCCTGGGATCCTCGGGGTGGCCCAGGCGGCCTCCAGAGCACCCCTCACGAGGCCCAGGGGGCCCCAGTGGCTCCAGAGTGGTGCGAAACGCTGGGGGCACCTGGGGCCAGGGGCACTTCTAGCAGCACCCGATCCTGTCCCCCGTGCGCGCCTCGGCCAGCGCTTCATGGGCGCGTCTCTGCCTCCTCGCCTTCGGCTGTGCCGCGTGCCCATCGAAGGCTGGGCTTTGCCCCGCGGATCCGAGAAGTCCGCGCGGACCTCCGAGCTGTTATGTTCGTGTCAATGTTCGTTCCCCGAAGATCGGCCCATCATCCTGTCCCCCGCGCGCTCCTCCATTTTGGCTCAAGCTCGGGGCGCAGGGGCGAAGAGAGGGGGGGGGCGCCCCCCCCCTTCGCTGCCCGCGCCGAGGGGTTGCGAGGAAGGGGGGGCGACGGGCCGCGGTGGCCGCGCTCACCTTGCGATTTGATTTTTCTCGGGTTTCTCTGCTGTCTTTTGCGCTTCGCATCCATTTGCTTGGCGGTGGCGATGGCAGGCGAATGTGGATTGGCCGCCATAGGGAGTACGTTGCCGGTCGACGCGCGCGCTCGCTTCTGGTGTTTCGTCAGGGAGGTAGGCATCGAGGACGTCGACGACCTGGCATTTTTCTTTACCACGGTGGAGGCAGCCGCGGCCTCGGGACAGGAGGAGGCGTGGCGGCGAGCTCGGCAGCTCGCGGGGCATCCGCGAGTGGCAGCGTGGCACAGGGTGGCCCGCGAGGCGCAGTCAGCGCCGCCCGCGCGCAAGGCGGACGCTCCGCCACGCGCGCTGGCGATGGCCCTCCCTGGCTTGCGCCCGCCAAGAGGGGGGCGCGGCGTGCAGCGCGCGGCGGCGAGCGCCTCCGGCACAGAGGAGGCGGACGCCGCGCAGCGCGCCAGCGCGGCCGGGGCAGCGGTGCAGCTGTCCGCGTCCTGGGGCCCAGCGCACGGCTTGGCGCGGGGGCTCCCCGAGGGCCAGGCGCAGCGCTTGTGCGGACCCGGGTCCGCGGCGGCGAAGAGGCTGGCGCGCTTCGCGAGCGCGGGGGTCCGGGACGCGCTGCGCGTCTGGGCGAGATGGGAGGCGTGGGCCCGAGCACGGCAGCTCGAGCCCCTCTCCGCGGAGGCTGCTGGCAGCACACTGATGGTGGACGAGTTCATATGTCATATGTGCGGTGAACAAGCCTCCGGGGTGCGCGTGTGGAATCGGTTGAAGTGGCTGCAGAAGTATCTCGGTGCGCCGTTCGCGCTCGAAGACGCGATGAAGCCAGACGCGCGGCCCGCGAGCAAAGCGGGGGGAGAGTTGCGGCAAGCGACCGTGCTCGAGCCGTGCATGGTATCGTTCCTGCATCAGATACTTGCCGCACAGGCAGCGCAGCGCGGTTGGCTCGAGGTTCCCGCCGCTGCAGCGATCGCGCTGTGCCACGGGTGGCTGAGATTCCAGCATTTGTCACGGTCGTACCCGATTGAAAGGACGAGAGCGCTGGCCTGGTTCAGATGTTACCGCGGAAAGCGCGGCGGATGTTTCGATTGGTGCCTGGTGCGGACCGCGGAGCCGCGTTGCGCAGCGGATGTGCTCTGGGACGCGTGGCATAAGCGCGCAGGGGCTGCCGGCGAAGGCGCCCCCCTGCCAAGGGGCCTCGCGGCGCACGAGGATACGGGGCAGCTCTGGCGTCTCGCGCACTTCTCAAAGTTTCTGCAGTCTGAGATCGGCCTTTGTCTGAATTCACCGCTCGAGAGGAAACTGATCACGTCGTACAGCCTGAGGCGTTTCATGCCGACGTTGGCGGAAAGCGTGCAGCTTCCGTGGACAGAGCGCGTTGTTGGCGGGGGCTGGACGCCCCGCGATGGTGGCGGAAGCACCGGCGCCCCGAACATGATGCCGTTGCGATACGCTGGAACCAGACGTGAGCAGCAGGGTTTCGTCCGTCTGTACATGCACGAAGTGTTTCACGAGGCCGTGGCCAGCTTGCCAGCCCCCCTGCGATTCGAAGGGGTCAAAGCTTGGTGGGATACGCCAGCCGCGCAGGAGGTAGCAGCGGGCGCGCGGCGCCGCGCGATGCAGCTGCTGGCGGCACAGGGCGTGCCCGAGCCCGCGAAGTTTCTGCCGCCGGCGGTAAAGAAAGAGCTGGCGCGCCGGCGGTTTGGCGCGTTCACCGCGTCCAATTACGGGGAGCAGAGCGCACGCAGCGCTGAGGCGACAGTTCCGCAGCCGGGGCCGCCGCGCTGCCCAGCCGCCGCAGCGGCCGCGGCGGGCGCAGCGCCTGCGCGGGATCGCTGGTA